ACAGAAAAACTTTAGTTTTTAATTTATTAATTTCTGAAGAGTGAGAGTGTAATGTTTTTTCTATATACTTTTTCATATGGTTTTGACCAATATTCATATTACTTAAAATTATAAATTATGAAGAACTGACTATTTGGAAAAGTATAGTATTTTAAAACTGCAAATTATTTAATCTGTATTTCAATCAATAAGAAAAAAGATAACTGCAGAGTTTTGTCTTTTATTATTTAATCTGTAGATACATAACATTTGCCTTATCTTATTTTACATTTGAGAAAAATTTGATAAAGTAAAATAAAGGAATAAATACAAAAAGGAATCTAAATAGTAATTTGCAGAAATATTACTAAAAAATGCAAAAACAATGTTATTATAGAATACAATAAAAATACAATTCTATTTCCAAAAGCTGAAACTTAACTCAAAATGTAAACCAAAGTTAACCTAGACACTTTTCCAGCAATGTAGACTATTGTAGCAAGGCTTGTTGAGCTTTGCTATGATAATCTTCAGAACCAATAGTGATCAATAATTTTGATTTTCAAACTTACATCATCAAATGTTCTATGGTTGTTCCATGATTTTGAAGAATTCCAATACATTACCAATGGAATACTTTAAAAGCTTCTATAAATTGTAGAATTTATGGTTGGACCTAAAGCTGACTAGTTAACATACACTAACCTCCAAAACATAAGCACAACATGAGAATTCTCAGATAAATAGCAAATGTTTGAGTTTTACTGAATGGAATTTGTTGTATACTTTGAGTGAGATATGCAAACATTGAACATGAATAAAATACACATTGGCTTTGTTTGAAATACACAAATCAATCTATAGGTAAAAACAATTGTTTCATTCTGTGCTTTGATACTTCAGTTATGAATGTGACAGTGAAATACCAAAATAATCAGTTTGTTTGTTATGTCCCAAAAAAAAAACATTTCGGTGATGTCAAAAACGGCAAGCCATGGATAGGTTAAAATCCAGTCAATCTATTGGAGAAGCTGCTCAATTCTTCAGAGTCTGCGATTTGGTGATTTCAACCCTGTGGACCCAATTCCAAATCACCAGAACAGTAAGCAGAAGGCTAGGCTTAGGTCACTCGAGTTACAACATCTGGTAACAGCTACTTAGCATTATTGGCCAGATGGAATAGACAGGCAACAACACTTGCTTTATGTTCAAGCCTTGTTGCAGCTACAGAGAGGTCTGAATCTGTGACTATTGTAAGAAGCAGATTGTATACACATGGTTTTTATGCATGAAGGCAAAACATTTCTGTTTCATTGTCCTCCAAGCATAGAGCAGCACATTTACAGTGGCATCAGGAACAATGTCACTTGGACTATAGACAATTAGAACATGCATGAGTCATGATTTGCTTTATAGTCAGACCAACAAATTTTTGTGTGGAGAGAAACTGGTACTTGGAATCAATCAATTAACATTGTTCAAGTGGCATTCTTTTTCTGGTGATGGTATCCTTATATGGACTAGGATTTCCTTAAATGGATGTACTGATCTCTGTGTTTTCCACTATGGGTACTGTGATGAACAAAAGGTATCTGGATGAAATCCTTGACCTAATTGTTCAATCGTATGTGGATATAATTAGTTCTGAATTTGTTCTTATGGACAATATTTGGCCATAAGAACAAATTTTACACAATTACCTAATGGCAGAGAGAATCCAGCAAATGCAGTGGCCAACATATTCACCATATCTGAATCTTATAGAGCATGTATGGGATGGTCTCAGAAGAGCTGTAGTTTCCCATCAAACTCCTCCAAACAGTACTCAAGTGCTCCAATGTGATATCATACAACAGTGAGGATTTCTGCCTTTTAACTTCATTGATTATCTGACAGTTATCATGAATCATGGTTGTGCAGTCTTCATTAGTTTAAGAGGAGGTCATATTCTTTATAGACAAACATTCTCATTCACAAGTATAACCTGTCATTTTGTCTATTTTTTGTTAATTTTCTAGAAAGTCTCACCATACATTCAAAACTCTTTCTATTGTATGCTAATAATAGACAGAATCCTATTCAAAGTTAATGTAAAATTTAAAGTAAATTGCTAAGTAAATTAAACTTCACTCTGACACCGGGGATGAAATACTAAATACTGAACCTGTTACCGGTGTAATTTGCGTGAAAAAATCTTTCCACAAACATTTTCGAGCTTTCCAAATAGCTCTTCTTCAGGTAAAGAGAAAAAAAAATAAAAAAATTCCGACGAAACACTTCGAAAAATGGAACGTAGATATTTAAATAAAAAACCGAATCTAAAAATAGAACGCAGATGTTTAAACAAAAAATATGAAACTCGCATAACGAACGATCATTAAGATGGTCATGCGCATTCGTGCGCTGATGTTGCTATTTATAGATCATTGTTTATGAGGGCCTGTCACGCTATAGAAAGATTAATCTCATCCTTCCGATTTATACATGTGGTCCGGTGGTTAGCCTTACAGATGGATATAGCTTCCTGCCATTTTAGTTGTTCCAGGTGGGGCGTAGTGTCGATGATGTCAGCTTTGTCGAACTCCGGTTCTATATCGGGATCAGATGCAAAGGTGGTTAGGGCCGTGGTGTACCGCCCATGCCGAAGGTCTGCTTGATGCTCTTGCACTCTGGTATTTAAAGATCGCTTGGTTGAGCCGATATAGACAAGGCTCTCGTTACATCTGTTATCTTTCAGCGGGATAGAGTACACGCCAGGAAGCCTGCTACGAACTGGACTGCCTTTTCCATTTCTGAGGATGTCGTAGATTGTTGGGCATCTTCTATAGGCTATTTGTAATTGTTGTTTTCCGGCGATCTCAGCGTATATCGCTTTAACATATGGGTTAAAGGTGACTGGGAGGCGTGTACGTTCATCCTGGTCAGTGTTGGTCTTCGTACGCGTAGTGGGTGCGTATTGTGAGCGTTGATGTCGCTCAATTAGACGGTGTGTTAGACCATGGTAACCATGCTTGGCTGCTATCCTCTTGATATAATTCAATTCGGTGTTGAGGGCTTGCGTGGTAGACGAGTGGGAAAAGGCCCTTTTAATCAAAGTATTAAATGCTGCAGCCTTGTAGGTGAATGGGTCGGATGAACCTACCGGTATGTATATAGAGGCGGCATAAGGTTTATGGTATACCGACGTGACAATGGCGGATCCTTCTACTTTAATGTTTATATCCAAAAAATGGACCTCAGTATTGCTAGATTGTTCCATTTCCAGCGTTAGGCCGTAGGGATTATCGTTAATGGTTTGTATGAAATTTGAGATGTCAGGTATTGTCTTCCACATGATGAGGATGTCGTCCACATACCTACTATAGAGTAAGATGTTCGGGAGGAACAGTGGAAGTATTTTTCATTCAAGTTGCCTAACGACCATTTCGTTAATAAAGTAAATTGCTGCAGTAGTTTCTTATTTGTGTAAATTTTCACTTTTGTGCTCATTTTTTGGAGGGGAGTGTAGTTGAATACATTCATCAGACACCTCCTCTATTGCCAGAAAAGTGCCTATGTTGACTATGTTGTATGCAATAAAAATGTAAGATTATACATTTGATGTGTTAAAAATATAGACTTAATATAGAAGGAAACTATATTATGAGTTTCAATTATTATTATGAATGTAACAAAATACCATAATTTTATATGGATAATCCATGAGTTAACTATGTTTAAAAGTCAATTGGAAAACAAGTGTGGGTTGTGACAAAATGGGTTATCTATTAATTTTAACTTACAATTATGAATTAATCTAACAACTTTTCCAGATACATTCATTTGCTATTTCAACTTTTTCCAAAACCACCAAAGGCATATATGTCTCTTCATATTCGCTTTTTGTACATTGTTCTTCCGTGCTTTAATTGATATTATTAGACACTCCTACTTGAACTTATATTTTGAAATGGTAATGCCCCCTGGTAATTGAATAATAGTCTAAGCTGCAGCCACATAGTATATGAAGACACTGAAAACACCTTATATACTTATCAGCAATTAATTTTTAATAAACATGTTTTTAGCCTGATTAATAAGCCTTCATCAGGTTTTTTATTTAGTTTATTAGTTTATTTAGGTTTTTAATACAGAAATTGTATTTTTCAAATGATATTAAATTAAGTTTTTTAAAAACTAATATGATTTTTGATTATGATAGAAATAAAATATAAATCTAAAAATAAAAGCACAATAAAAATAGTATACAATCAAGAATAAAAATAAAGAAATAAAAAATAAAATGAAATAATCCAACAGGCTATGATGATGCCTTGTTTTTTGTAGTGTCACATTTTTGTTACCTTCCTTTTTAATACATTCAATCATTATGTTTTAGAAAATTAGTGATTTATTACATTGCTTTTTGAACTTGTTGAATAAATTTTTAAATGTGATTTTAAAATAATGTATTGTTTTTAAAATTGCAGCATTTAGTTTTATTATGATGAAAATATGGAATAATTTATTCTGATTATCTTTACTGATTCCTCTTATATAATATAAATTAGCCCACATTAAAACTTTTGAATTAATAATTGATGTTTACATAATTAACTTTTATTTTACAATATAGTATCTGAAATAAAAGCTATATAAGATTTGAAAAGTTTTAATATCTAAGAATATAGGTGAGTTTGCTTTATTTGAATTCATCTGATTCAAGCATACTTAAAGCAAAATAAAAAACAGTAGTAATTTTTATTTCATTTGCTATCATATTTAACCACAATAAAAGTTATTAATAAATCAAAGTAAGCATTAACAACAAACACTTAAAATATTACTTACATAAAGAATAATAAAACATTTTTAAAAACAACTTCCAATTAAATTTTAGATTTAATAATTGCTAAATAGCTTAAGTGGGATTCCACTAACACAAATATGGCCAACATGCAAAATAAATCATACATATTTTTATGATGAAAAATGAATTTTTACATGCACACAATGTCAAGTAAACTTTTGAACATGTTTACCTCTGGAGCATTTCTTGTTGCCATTACATTTCTGAATACTGAACTCCAAGGAAGATCCTAAAAAGGAATTGCTTATATTTTACTTTTCTAAATTCTATTTAGAGCCTGGTTAAAGTAGACAGAAACATCTTTAACACAGAAAAACTGAATATTGTCAAATTTCCTTTTAACAGTGATTTTAAAAATATATATACAATGGACATAAAGACAAATATATATATATATAAACACAGTACATATAAAAGAAAGAAATATATATAAGAAAGAGAAAAGAATCCATCGTAATTAAAAAGAAAATAAATCTACAAATGTATATATTTTAATAAAAATAGCAAATTTCATAATTTAGCTCAAAATTTTGAAATTAAATGATTTTAATTTAACTTTAATTGTTTTTACATCATATATATCACAACAAGTTTTTTTAAAATACGCTGATAAAAAATATATATTTATATTTTATAACTTAAGTGAGTTCATATTTTAATCAATGTAAACTTAATTAAACTAGATTATTTTTTATCTTTAATATGAATGATTAAATTAATAAATTAGTTAATTAGACAATTAGGCCACCATTTATATTAATATAAATAATTAGGAATTAAATTAAATAATTTAGAAAATGATTCTGCATAGAAAGGAGAATTATTTCACTTCAGTAATCAATCTTTTCTATCAAAATTTTTAAAAATTATTTAATTATCATTTTTAATTTCTTAATATTAATATTAATGCAAGATGGTAACCAAACTGGCTAACTTTACACCAAATTCATTAGTTTAATCATTCTTATCACAGCCTGAAGATAATCTGATTTAATTAAGTTCAAGTTAAAAAATATAAATGTTACTGGCCAAATCCAATTTCAGGCCCAAGTAGTTTGTCCTAAGCCAAACTAGTTTATCCTATGCACGTCAGGACATACTAGTTTAGCCTAGGATAATCTAGTTGAGCCTAAATACTTTAGGCTTAACTAGTTTGACCTAGGCTGAACTGATTTATGTACTACAAATAGGTGCCAGTGTAAAAAAAAATTATTTTGTGTAATTCGAAATGCCACCACAGTACACCCGGTGGTTGAAGTGTACCTAGGTAACCCCAATGACAATGCTTCGGTTAGGTTGGTTTGGTTAGGTTAACTACATTTTTAGTAGATGTTTCCTTTTTTTCTTTTGTTCAAGAACTACTGTGAATCAATAATTAGTGATGTTAAACAATGAGTGGCCTGCTGGCGGCTCCCCTCCGAAAGGAGTCCGCCAGGAGCATGAACAGTCCGAAGTGCCACCATTGGGGTTACCTAGGTACACCTTAACCCACCCTGTAAACATAAATAAAAGATTAAATATTTTATACGTTACACTAAGAAGCACAAATAAGTTCATTTTTAATTTTAGTTTGACTCTAAAAATTATTTTTATTATTTCGTTTGAATTTTTTAAATATTTTCAAAAGTTAATTACCTTTAAAAGTGCATGGCTTAATAAAAAAAATACAAGCTGATAAAAATAAGCTAATCAGTACATATTTTATAGTTTTGTACAAGTGTTGTGTCACCTCTAATCAATACCGTTTTTTATAATTAAGTAGACTATGTTTGAATAAATATTGTTCATCTAATTGATTGCCTTTTAATTTTATTTTAACCATTAATATACCTAAATCAGGCCTGGCCAACCCACAGCCCATCACATTAAATTGTGTAGCATGCTAAGAAACATTATATATGTATTAAAACTTTCATTTTCTGTTTTTTGTGTATACCAAAACAATTAAATAAATGAACATTTGCATGTGTCATTGTTATAATGCGCAAGTGCAAGTACAAACTCTTGATATAACAGTGAAATCTTATTCATTTTGTATTTGTTTTACTTTTTTAAAAGCATGTTTGCCTAAATTGTGGCCCATTGTAATGTTAATCAAAGTGGTCTGCAAAATAATTTGGGTTGGCCAGGCCTGACTTAAATAATAATTCTAAATCATTTCAGCCTAGGACAAACTAGTTAAGCCTTAAGTATTTCGATCAAACTAAATTGTCCTAGGCTAAACTAGTATATCCTGACACACGTAGGACAAACTAGTTTGACCTGAAATCGGATTTGACCGGTAACATATACATTGTTCTCATTTTTAACTCAAGTATATGTATATGCGAATGAAAAAGTTTGTGCATGATTGTATTGTTCACTTAAATATAATGACAAAAAATTCCACCCAAAAAAGACCAATTTTACATTGTGTTTGAACTGAAATGTTTTAAAATCATTATATAATAATTTTTCAAAAATGTCTCTGTTACTGAATTTTACAAATGAAAATTAAATAAAATAGTCTATGTTGCAAGAAAATGAAATAATAATGTCAACATTATCAATTTAATAATAAAACTTAGTGTTCTCATCCAGATGAATATTATAGTGATATTTTAATACTGTATTTACTCATGTATAAGACATTTTATTCATTTTTCACTGCTTCAAAAACCTATGTCACCCTATAATGCAAGCAAAGGATTCTTTGCATTTTTGCAATAATTTTTGTGAACCATGCTGCCATTATAGCAGGATGCTATTGAAGTCAAGGTGAATATTGCTTTCAAAGAGATGGTCTGAAAATAGCTGGTCACTTAGCAATGATTATAAATGTAGTTATTTTATATTTGTTAAATTGGTATTTTTAATGAATATTTGCATATTCTGAATCACTAAAAATAAACTTTTTCCTGTCACACACATTATAATCTTTTGGTTTTGCTGTGTGAGTATCAGGTGTGTGGAAAAGCATTCCTCAAGAGCTGATAGTAAAGTCATTCAAGAAATACTGCATTTAAAATTCACTTAACAGATCACAGGACGATGCTTTGTGGAGTGAAAGTGAAAAAGAAGAGAGTTGTAAGAAAGCTTTGAAGGGTGAGTCTGTGTAGACAAAATGTGATAGCGTCAAGAAAATATGGTTGTTTGCCTTAATACGCGCATTTGATATTTTATTTGTGACTAAACAAAATAAAATTAAATTGTATTTATAAGTCTAATTTTCTTTATTTTGATCTTTAAACTCACTCCTCGTCCTATATGCAAGATCGTCTTATAAGCGAGTAAATACGGTAATTCAGTTTTATTTAAATAGTACTGGTCAATGTTAATTCATATACAGTAGAACCTCGATTATCCGCCCTAATTGGGGACTGGGGTTGGTCGGATAATTGAAAAGTCGGATAACCGAAAAGTATGAAAAAATCCATTATTAGTGTAGTATATTATTATNAATAAATCTAATTTTCTTTATTTTTATCTTTAAAGTCACACCTTATCCTATATGCGAGTAAATATGGTATTTTTGAGAATGATTTCTATCTTCATTATTTTTTTACTTTTTGAATGTATGAATAAAAAGAATGAGAGTTAAAAGTATCATTTTTAGAGATATTTGATTACTGAGTTAAAACTGTGATAGTTTTAAGCTTTAAAAGCCAGCCCAACACTAACTTACTAGTCATACATTAAAAATATTTATATTTCTAATTTATAGTTTACTTTCCCATACTATACCTATAATTTTAATAGAAAAACTAAATATAAAAAGAAAAATTTTTAATTCATCTATAGAAAAAAAACTGCAGTTTTTCTAATATTTAAATTTTCAGGAAGTTTATACAATTCAAATAAATAAAACAAAATACATTTCTTCAACTACACAAATTTTTTTTCTTTTCGAAGAATAATTTTAGAGTAGCAACTTTAATAATTAATGAAGATTCAAAATGTAATTTTATTAATTAAAGTACTAATTTAAAAAATAAAATAAAAAATAAATTCAATTTGATAATTTTGAATTTGAAACAATCCTGCATTTAAACTTTGGCTTAGGAAAAAGTTCTAATATAGTAATATACCTGAAGAAAGCCAACCCATCAAGAAGACAAAAACATTTTTAAGTTAGATCAAACAAGTGCTGCAATGAAATTACGTTCTTCCTAATAACTGGAACAATGACTAAGTACATCAAACAAAACATTTACAATCTAATAAATAATTTTAATGTAAATTCAACAAACATTTTTGATCTTACACAAGATTTTCTTCAGGTCAACAACATTCTAAATTGGAATGCGCAAAACTAATTTCAAATTTTTTCTCTCAAGCATCAATACATCATGGATATGGACTGTAAACCTCTGGATGAAAGCCATGTGGACAGGTTACAAGCCCATATCACACATTTTACACATACAACCCTTGCCAAGTTAAAGTTGGACAGAGCAGTTGTTGCCTCACTAGACACCATGAAATTATTTGCCTTTGCAAAAACACATAAGCCAACACATTCCCTAGGTCCATTGTGGATAAAGCAAGATCACCTACACAACTGTTAGAAAATATACAATCTGGAATCGGAGCATTTGAAGGGTTATAAATTCATTATCAAGAACTCCACATAACTGATAGATATCTTACAGCAGGTTGAATTAACAGCTAAAGCACATATTACAGTGTTTGATTTTGTTTCCTTATATTCATCAGTAAGGTTACAACTAAGCTTATGTACTCTCAAGGATCTTTTACTACAGAAAACAGCTCACCACCAACAGATCTTAAAACTCACTCACATGATGTGTTATGCTTCTTAATTCCAGTTTAACATCATCACATACAAAAGCGGAGAGTGCCCATGGGCAGCCCAATTTCAGGGGACCTGTGTGAGATGATCATACATCAGTTGGAAGAAAAAATCATACCTTAATTCATACCAAACATTGCTGTCTACAAGACATATGTTAATGACCTGTTTGTTCCCTGGAAAACAGAGCCAGATGTAAATGCATTTTTACAACACATGAATAACCCATATGGACTAACCCTTAAGCTAGGTAAGTGATACAAGTGCACACTTCTTAAATATTAAGATTAGTTTCAGTGAGGGTCACATAGAAACTGGCATCTATTACAAAAATGGCTGTTTACCATTATTCATTCCAACAAACTTGTCCCAACCCTTTTTTGTATAAAATTGCTGCTTACAAGACAAGCATTTACACACAATACAAATAGGGAAAA